CCCAGCCCTTCACTCCCTCTTCATACCTCTTCTTAAGCGCCGTTCGACGCTGTTGCTGCGCCAAGCACGAGTCGTCTGATTGTAAAAAGTTTGTGATGTACTTTGTCTTTGACCTGTGGATGGTAAATGACAAATTGATCCCCACCCAGAACTGAATCCAAAGGCAATTAGTGCGAAAGGAAGGCCTGAAGTAAGAAAGAAGGTGCCTCCTTCTTTTGTTTTGTTTTGTTTTGTTTGTTTTTTTGTTTAGATACTCCGCCCGGGTGCAAGGGTCTAGGCAGATCCTGGCAAACCTTTGTCCGACTCTTCTTAAATCTTCCCGCAGGGGGAGGACGCGCATCCTGCAGCGCTCATAATGATGGCCTACTTGTAAGCTACCTAGCAACGAACCTAAATCTTGGGAACGAGCTAAACTGTGAAATTTTTGAAAAATTTCTGCTAGAGTCTGTTGGCATGTTAGCTGTTATACAGCACGTGTTTTAGACTCCATCTGCTATGTCAAACTTCTAATCGTAACACAAGCCAGTTTAATGTGTTTTTTTTTCTCCCCTTTGCAGCGTTCGAGAACAGACGTACGGAACTTCGACACGGATTTCACAAGAGAAGACCCAAAATTGACTCCGACTGACAAGAACGTCACCGCCAACATAAACCAGGAGGAATTTAAGGACTTCTCGTTCGTCAACCCACTGTTCGTGAGCGACAGACTTGTGTAACAGCTGCATAACTTTACATTGTACATAGATAAAAACAGCATGAAATGAAGAAAATTTGAAATTCTATCGCGAAATGAAAAAATTTTTATCTTTTAAGAACGTGATCCAACAAGTGTATTTTTTAGATTTTAAATAGCCGTGATCTGTGCGCGCTGAAGTGGTAAAGTTGCGTGATCTGTAGCTGTGTAGCAGCCATTTACTGCGAAGTGGTTTCAGCGAGTTACAGCGCTTTTTCTAGTCACGCAACACCTCTTAGTACTCTAGGCGTGGCGGGCGTGCGTTAGGGGAACCACATGTAATGTATCGTTCAACACAGAAAATTCCATATTTGTTCTATACGTAAAAAGCTGAAGTTAGACTTCAATCATGGTAAATAACATTTGATTTTGTTTTAAATTGCGAAGTTATAGCGTAACGTAACGGTTAGATTTACGTAGGATTTTATTTTTCATTCGAGCTTTGCATTATCCAGTCAATTTGTGCAAAGTAAAGTAGATTTTTATCGCAACATTCTTTACAGTTATTAATGAACGGTCAAATCTGTAACGTCAAAGCGCTTGTGCTTGTCCAAGTCGATCTTCGTTAGGAAGTCGATAATAGAAAGTTGAACTCGAAGTATTCCTAAGCCCGCCAACGTTTTCTGAACCTGTACTTGGTTTTCGTTTCTTGTCCGATCAAAACACACGTTTCATTTCGTTGAAAAGGCGGCGAAGTCTTTCCAATTTGACGTACAATTATCAGTTATTTTGATTGGTTAAGATGCTCAGAAACTCATTAAAAGACGTAAAACATTTCTTTGTATCAGTAGAATCATTGTGAAAGTAACGGCTGACAAGATTATTTTTTCGTGAATGACTTGTGGACTCAAACAGATCATCTTTAAAAGTGTTTTACTCGACGAACGCTTCGAAGAAAATAACAGGCTTGTTAAATTGGGCGACGAGGATCGACTTGTACTTTTTTATTTTTGCTTGTTGATGCATCGAATCAATTTTGAGTTATTTATTGTGCATAATTTCAAAGAAATACTATCTTAACGCGAACCAGTTTCATTACTATAAATTAGTTTGCCACCGTAACTTTTTATTTGTTAAAGTATTGTTACTGTGGATAATCCTTAATACCCGTGTAATGTTAGGTTAAGTACTTTGTATCTGATCCAAAGGTTGAATTGTTTTTCGCTAGAAGAAAGATTTTAAAATGTACAGAATTGACTCATCCCTAGTCCCCAGGTGTCCTCGCCAGCACGGTCAAACCTGGCCCTTAGTAAACTCTGACGTCACCGAAGGAACACTTCTCTCGTGCGTTTTGGTCACAAGACTCTGCATGGTTCCGTACGGTAAGCAAAACAGTACGAAACGCTAAAGAACCAGGCCTGATTCATGGTTATGAGTAGACTTAAGTCCAAAGAAAGAGTTAAGTTTTTTAACTATTTCGTATTATTTGTGATTAATCTAAGGCTCTGCTGGGATGATTCAGTTTTACCTTCACTTTTTAACATCAATTTATAAAGAAACAGACAGGGACTTAAAAAGAGAACACGATTTTCATCCAGAGGATAGTGTTTCGTTAAAAATTCAGATTCATAGAACTTGCTCTCCAAGAATTATAAGGTAACAAGAAAATAGAATTGACAATCAGGCCATAGGATTGAAATCTTTATCGATGAAACTGAAACTTGAAAATGTGGATGAGTCAAAATGATAACCGCCAGTTGTAAAGGATTAATGCAGAAACGCGCAGATACGTTGACTTTGTTGAGAGATGCGTTTCGTCCTGAATTTGATCTGATCTGAAAGGCACTTAAAGTGAAACGGACACTCACCCGCCATTTTCATTATCTTGAGATATTTTGCGAGTGTTTTCCAGTGAATAGTGAGATTGCGTAGAATTAAAGGACTCGTGGTAGCCTTGACCCTTTAACTCCTGAGTGACCAAGACAAAATTTCTCCTTACAATATCAATACAATATCAACCAGATAAGTGATGAGAATAAAGAAAAATGTCAATTTTGGGATAGTTGATCCAATACTAAATTCTCTGTACTAACATTACTAAATTGTATGATCGACTGTAAGGAGAATTACATATTTGATCCGGGAGTGAAAGGATTAATGATATATTCCCTGTTTTTCGCCATTTTCGTGGGTTGTTCCATGTGTTTACATATCTTTGCCATCACTTTTTTAACTGCCTGATGAACGGAACAAGAAAAAATTTAGATTTAAATTTGCCGTGAGCTGGGCGTCAAAGACTGTTAACTGCAGGGTTGTGGAGTGTAAAAATTTCTATCTTCTGCAAGCTTTACAGCTTGCCAAATTTTTTAATCATTTTAAAAAGTCATTAGTTCTTTTGAATTTCATCAACATTTATTCCTAGCTCAGTATGTAAAATTACTTTAATAAAATTAAAAATTCAAACCACATCAGCGGCTTGCTTTTTATTGCGTCCTCTTCACAGCAAGAGAGTTAAAGGGTTTCAGTTGTTAGAGCTCGATATCAATTAAACTTTCAAATCTCTCAAGTGATGTACATGTAACTTCTCGTTGCAATAGCGATACATTATTCAGTAATCAGGTTGTGAGAATATATGAACTTATCAGCCGGAAATTGACTTCTCTTGAGGTAAGATATAATTCTTTTGGCTTTTCTCTCCCCGGGCACAAACTACGTCAGATCTGTCTGCACTCTATCAAAGAAAGACCTGATTTTTGCTTAAATAATGATGATAATAACAAAATACGCAATATATTTGTCACGAGAGGACGACAATGGAGAAATAAATGCCTTTACAAGATTCATGATTTGTTGAGTGTGCCGATCATATCTTTCTGGATTGGATTGCTCGGTGCTATCTCTAGATGAATGTCTGATTGAAATTAACTATGGACGATTTTTTTTATGTTTTCGATGCATGGAGAAAGTGATCTTGTGGAGTCGTTTGTGTTTGGCTAGGGACGAATTCAGATACCATCGTTGGCATGTTTATATGATTTTGTTATCTGGAATAAATGATTAGTGATCTACTAACGACGAAAATATATCAAGTCGAAGGAACAATTTTGGTCTCGGTCCGAAATTTTGTCAACAAAATAAACACATACCGCTTAAAAAGATGATAATACGGACCACGTGGAAAGCTGTCAATTGTTTCTTAAATGTTGCGCATGTTATATACCTTATGGTATTCTTGTTTACATCTACATTTTCATCTATTTTTATGATGTTGGTGAAATCTGTACAGACATCACACCAACCAACTCGCGTGCAAAGTGAGAAGACTATATGAAGGCTTGAAATTATATTACGATCGATTTTCATCAAGAAATGGGCCAGGAATATTTCTAAATAGTGCAAATAATCGTGAAAGCTGATCGCGGAAAAGCGATTGCGTGACGCTCGGTGAGTTAGAAGATGACGTTATCACATACCAGACGAAAAAAAATTTAAAGATTCTCAGTCTGCATTTTTTACCCACTCTGCAGTCTGCAGTGGGTTAATTCGACATTTTCGTTCTTTTCCACATTAGTACTCTTCTTTCCTTTTATAAGAATGTAGACATCATTTACAATGTTTCAAGTAAACCACCCACCCCCCCTCCAAAAAAACTCTTGCATGCATTGCATGCCTATGTTTTTCTCAAAGTCACCATTATTGAGGTTTGACCGCGAACACATCTGTGTATGAAGAAGAGTAACTTCAAAATGAGGATTTTCGTAGACTAAATCTAAAACCTTTACATGAGCATGCAATTCACAAACGCTGTAACTTTTTTGGCGTTAGATTATCTCTATCAGCTATGACGGATATAAAATCTTCCTAATCTGATAAACTTCTTTAAACATAGACCCAGGAGAGCGAACTCTATACCTTTGAAACATTATAAGATTAATACTTTACTTTAAATGGAAATGTCTAAAAGATAAAAATTATTTTGGTCGTTTATCAAAATGAAATCGAGTATTTGATTGACGTAAGCCTTTTGAGAAGAGGGACTAGCCTATGAGCACGAACGAAAGTTCTAGATGGCAGTGATATCCCTTTGCACTCACGATCGGCTATAATCCCTTGTAAAACGTCTTATCGGTGAACTAAAGTGACGCAGAAGGTGGAAATCTCTCTTCTCTATGCAAAAATTTTAGAATCTTTCATTGTTCCTCCGACGTCTGCCGTCCTAACGACGCAGTAAACTCATATTGCTCTTCAGCATACAACCTCATATCGTCAAAACACAGCCTGATGCTCAAAGTCCACATTATTACAGCTAATCTCACTACTAATTCCGTCGGTTTAATTTCCGCCGTCTTATCGCGGTTTTAATGAAATAAGTCATGTGCTCACTTGCAGATGAAGTTCAAGTGCAGAAAAATTAAGAGTTGAGCTTTAAATAAACAATTGAATAAAAAAAAAAAAGGTCTGAATATATCGAGGCTTGAACGGGATACAAACTCCGGCGTGTTTTCAAGATACAAGTTTGGCGCTAGTACAAACTGAGCAACTAAACCTCGCGTAAGAAGTGACACATATTTTAGTGGGTTCTTTGTCCTCGTAGAAGAAAGTAAATGCAATATGATATAAATCATAGTTTCATTAACGGATGAACTTCGACCTCTCTTTGAATCCTCATTTGGAAAGTCCAGAGATTAGATAAGAAAGACTACCTAGTTGAGCTCCTGAAAGAAAATCGGTGACGCTTTCGACTCGAGTGTGTTTATGTACACCGTTTATGTATATGGGAATAGATTACAGTGAAACTGGTGATAGATTATTAACCGGAAAAGATTACAGTGAAACCAATCTTTAAAACTGTTTTCACACCTAGAGGGTGCAACGATCATCAAGTAACTTCCAAATTCGATTAGGTTAACATGCTTCAAGCTCAGTTGTCTGTTCTCTTGATCAGCTTGAGTGTGTTGTCTTGCATAACACTGAATTCCCCTATCGAAATACAAGGGGATATATGGTAGTTAGGAAGAAGAAATACTTATTTGATCTTAGGAGGTGTAGGGTTAGGCGAAAGTATACAGGATCCTTTCTAAAAGAGTCTGCTGTTGCAAGGTGTCTCAAGCTGTTTTAAACAGATCTTCGTTTGTGGATAAACATGGTGGCTCATTGATTTTGATAGAAGCTAAATCAGACACCATTGTAAAACTGCAATGGAATCCAAGTATATAAACAAATCTTTACTGAATAAAACCACTTGAAGTGTCTGCCCTTAATCATCTTTCTTCTCTGCCTTCGCTATTTTTGTAAAAGATGGCTTTTCACGTCTGTTCCGTAAGCAACCTTGTTTTTGATCACGAGCCTGCGGGAAGCTCTTGTTAGTCTTTTGAAACGCGTCTCTCTTAACAATACTCTAAACTTTGATGACTATTTCGAATAAAGCCTCATTGATCTCTACAAAACGCAGTCCTTCGTATTTGAGTCTCCAAATACGCAAAAGTTCAATTGGCTTCCGCCGTTGAAATAAAAAACTGATCCAAAGCAAGACTTTTGTGGGCTCAAATGATGTTTCAAAACTACAAAACACGTATACGATCGAAACTTCATACCTTCCTTCTTGTTCGAGTTGGAAATTGTGTCACGTAACTCCATGGGTGGTACTCGGAAAGAAACTTTAGTCAAGCTACATTTCATAGGAAGAAAAACTTACAAATCAGGCTTCATAACCGCCATCTTTTCTCGCTTACTCTGTCAACAGTAATTCCGCAACTTTCGTGATCGGCAAGGTTTATCTATGGAAAAAAGCCAAATAATTCAGGTAAACAATTTGATCGAGTCGGTTTAAAAAGAAAAGTCCATAGTTCAAAAGTCTCGGGTTATGTTTTTAAAAGGAATTTGATCAGGGTTTCTATGGCGGCTATGTCTGAGAGATAAAAAAAAAAAAAAAAGGAAAAGAGAGATTGGCCCTTACCTAAACATTCGCACATGCCCTTATCTATCATATGCGACTGAAAATGACAAGGAGACCGAAAAAAAGATTCTTTTTGCTCTAGTTACTTATTGTTGGTGATAATAATTTAATCAGGCTAATGATAAACGAGATACATCATGGAAGAGATATCTCTTTTTCAATTTTTACAGCTGAGAGGAAATCGTTCTTTGTTCTAAGTAAATGACTCGTGCTGCTAAATAACCACACTCACGTTTGATATTTCCTCCTGACTCTGTTTCCGGAAAATAAGAAAAAAAGAAAATCGTTGACCTCATCAGTGAAACTGTCTATTTCGGAAGGCTATTTATACTGTCGTGGTAAAAATCGAGCACGTTTTGGCAAAACAAGTTAACCTAAGAAATGATTTAATCCTGTTAGACATTTCACCTGTGGTCAAGTAGGATGTGCTCTCATACCTACCTCAATCCCACCGCCCATGAAACAGTCACCTGAAAAAAAAAAAAAAACACCAAAACCGCCAACTTACTGGAATTATGTATGATGAACGAAAGTATGATAGCCTCTTGAAAACGTAAGACTGAAGTTCCTCTCCTCAGTTTGTCAGCCGACAAACCCTTATCCCAGTTTTAATCTCAGCACGGAAACGTTTCGTTTGCATCTGTTTTTATTAGGAGGGAAACGAGGTCAATATCAGTTATATAATAATAATATTATTTTAGAAACAAGGGGTAGAAAGTATCTGCCGTTTCGTAGAAGTGATAGTTTGCAACTACCTATTTTAAGTAGGTTCGAAAAAGGATTAAACTTTGATTGAAAGGTGAGAAAAGTCTGTCATTTTTTACAATAGACGTGCACGCTATTTCTTGTTGGTAGCTTCATCATTTGAGCCTGGTAAACTAGGAGGATATTGAAGTGAATGACAATGTTAATCAGCGCATAACACGGGCACACTGAGAGTCGAACCTACGATCTTCCGGTTAGTACTTCGGATGCTCTCTGCCACTAACTACGTCCCTGAGACAAACTTCCTGCATACTGCTAGAATAGGAAAAGGATAACTGGGAGAGAAGAATATTTAAGGGGGTAAGTTTCTAAAGAAACTGTGGTGCTGCGTTGGTGGGAGAGTGTAACAGGGTAATTTAGTGTTATCAACTGAGTTGATAGCGTGAATTGGCCATGGTGAATAGTTTAAAGGCAGACGTTTCGAGCGTTAGCCCTTGTCAGAGCGAGGATGAAGGCTCGAAACGTCAGCCTTTAGTCTCTACACAGAGACGAATATTGTTGGCCGGCGAGGTGAGAGTACAGCTTAGAACTGTTCGCAAGGAAAATTCCGTGTCACTACGAAGATGAGCAAGGAGCTGGTTTTTTTTACAGTTTTTTTCATATGGAGAGGCCTTGAATGCTGTTGATGAAGGACAACGGCGGTCATCGTTTCAAAATATCCAGTTGTCACGAAAAATTAAGTAAACTTGATACTGAAATAAGGTAAATTAAAAAAGGGTTTTAAACCCGTAGGTAATGTTTCAAGGAGACGTAATGTATTAATCCCAATTCTGATTGTTTAGTTAATCATTTATTCAGATTTTGCATGGTAAAAATTTTGCATGCACTGTAAGAGTTGAAAGATATGTGTAATGAAGCGTATTTCATTACTTTAACCCCAGCCGAACGTGTTGATCAAAAACCACCAGGACGTAGTTACTGACTATCGCTGTTTTTTTCAAATATATACTAAGCCTTCATAACATTATATAACAGTGACTTCACGCTGTGTCCTTTTTCGGTGGGTTTCTTCATAGTTTTTATTTCCTTCTCGAACCCATTTTAAATAGTTTCTTATTTGCTGTATCAAGACAGTTTACCAAACGTTGTGCGGGATGGTCATGAAAGCCTAGTCAGATTTTTTTCCCCATGTTTGGTTTTTCTTGGCTATCAAACCGCCAACAAAGCCTTTATTGTCATAATTCTGCCCTATGATTGGTTGAGCGGCATCAACAGTGACATACAAGCTTAAGTTAGTGAGGTATAGTTCAACTCTTCCCTGAATGACTTGCTTTCCGCGTAGCACTTGATCGTTACTTTAAGTACTAGAAGTTCTCTACATCTAACAAATCTTTGCAGGTGATAAATAATCCCAAACAAGTGGTAGAAAGCTACGCAAACATAAATACGGATTTGTATCTTGCGGCGCTTTTGGAGTTTGTGGGGTGAAAAGGCGGGTTACGGTGCAGTTCATTCATTCAGTGGTAATTGGTGGAGCATTCTTTCTTACCAATGAGGTTTTGTTGTTGGACGTCTTTGGCTGTCGTTTTGGCGGTATTTCTTGGATTTTATGAGGTAAGTTTGCATTTTTGTGAGAGTGATTTTGCTAAATTAGCTCTCTTCTCTCTCATCAACTGTCCTTGAATTTGCATTAATGGTCCTCGAGTTAAGGAATTTGCTGGAGAGCTAGTTTCATATGGCTTAAAAACCTGCATCACTCGAAATTCTCAGCCGATAGCTCCTCGATTTCATCTTCGTCGGTTTTATTTGCGTTTCCTGTATAATTCTCATAAAATTTTTCCTCGAAGGTGTATACTATTGTCGAAGTTGTTAGAGGCAAGTTATGTCGAAACAATTTTCTTTCAATTATACAAATAATAATGCAGCCTTATAGTCATTAAGCATTTGTATGACCTTTGATACAGATAAAACAATGTAATAACCTCGAATACTCTCGATATTTTTGTACCTAAAATATGTTATATTGCATTTGTTCTTCGGATGCGTCAGCAAATTTCCGCTAACATGTTTTGTTTGTAGTCAATTCTGAATCGACGTGAGTATGTGATCGATAAAATGGTTTGCTTCGAAGACGCATTTTCAAGTGACTTTTACGTAAGTCGAAGTGCTGTCAAAGTTGCAACATTGTGAAAGTAAACAGAAGACGTTGTTTCACTCGAAAGTGTAATATAAGATTTGGACAATAAAGCAACTTGTCATTAAAAGATCGGGGCTGTGATAGATACACACGTCTGAGCAGTTAAAGGTCATCTCGAAGGAAATGCGTTTTTTTTTGTATGACGCAAACCCCTCATACTAAGGATAAAGCACTTGTTTGGAATATCGTATTTGTTTTTTATTTTTGGGGGGCAAAAGATTGCAGATAAAAAGTGGAAAAGGTGACTTTTTTTTTCATCGGAAGTTAAATATTTATCTGAATGATTGCATAGCCAAACCATTTAAATGCCATGTAGAACTAAAAGGCTGTGAGGGAAGTTAATTGTTATTTTTATGGTTGTAAGAAATTTCCTGTTTCTCTAAGGTTCACAGTGTGCACTATTTTTCAATAGGACCTTGTGTCTAAGGACAGTTTCCAATTACAAGGTGTCCAGTTACAAATGTGCATGCCATGTTTAGTGCTCACAGTCTGAAGCAGCCAACCTTAAATTGACCCAATGTGCTTTAGTCTTTTAAGTCTGTTATGTAACTGCTGAAGGTAGCTAATCCTATGGAGGCGACGAGAAGAGTAATATTTACAATGATACTGATCCTAATGATTTTTCTCAGCAAGTCTCCTTTGGACTATTGATGTTATTGTAAATAATGTAAACCATTTCAGAAGTTTGCTACGCAAACAATAGTTTTATGATGTCAACGTTTGTGATGTTTATAATCAGTCAGCAGTAGAACATTTTAAATCAAGCGTAGTCCATTATGGTCTTTGTAATTGAATTGCAAGAAGTTGGATTACTCTCCTGCATCAAAGAAATCTAAATATTGGAACCACCAGTATATCACCTAGTATGTGAACTAGTTGTGAAAACAACAAATTGTGATCTTTTATAATTTATTTTGATTGCATGTTATTCCCTCATTTCAAACTAGTTTGTGGTTAATGTAGATCAGTGAAATGGAAATACTTATAAATTATTTACTGCACCACACCACTGCAAAGTGGTTTGTGTATGTTCTAGGAAAGTTAGATACACAGATACATATGTAATGTTAGGTGACATAGAGCAATCTATCAGACGATCAATTAGGGTTAATTTTCTGATGTGTTTACAATGGACTTTTTTCAATTACCATAATTGGTGGCTTTTTTTTTTAGGGTAAGGTATATTTAGTGGATACTGATCTCAAGATCAGTGTGATAAAATCATAGAAAAGTAAAAGGTGCAGTATATCAGGTTTATGACTTCTGATTGTTAATGGTATACTCTACCACTGTCTAGACAATGATTTTTTTTTTGTAGCTTAACCCTTTACATCCTAACATCAGTATGGACGTTCTCAATACTGTTCTCTTTATATTTACTAAGGTGCAGAAAAGGAGAATTTATGTAACAATCATGAACCACACCATAATTAAATGGAAAAAAGCACTAACAGATGATTTTTTAATCAAGTATGAATTTTAAACACACTTTGTACCAAGGTAGACTTTTCAGCTTGTTGTTTTGGGTGTGTTCTAATCAGTTGTTTTGTCTCCTTTTTATTGCAGAATGTTTGTGCAAAGGGAACTTTATCTATTCAGTTGCTAGATTACAATAATCCCCGTTCAAAAGATTACAATGGAGATTGCTGTGACTGTTGCAGTTTTTTCGGGTCGTGCCCAAATGATTGTGAAAACTTTTTTAAGCTGACTGTTACCAAATATCCGTACACAGTCTTCACTGCTCTCTCACCGTGGGTTCGATGGGAGACTTACATCATGGGAGATGACAGTTTTTCTTTTCCTGGATTTGGTGACACTGTTGGTAATGGTCTTACAAACCCCTTGATATATCATTTCAATCAAAGATGGCCGGTAAGGCTTGTATGCTTTCTTTTCGTCAGAAATTATTATGAATTGCAGTTATTGTGGAATCTTGCTAACACAAACTGTGAACCTCAAAAAATATAGAGTAAGTGTTGCATTATGGCAAGTTTAAGTAAGCTGATGGTGATACTTTTTGAAAAATGAGACATCTGAAAAGTGATTGATTCTATCGTGGTAGAAACTGGCTTCACGGTTAAGTAAGTAAGGAGTTCCACAAGGCAAATGAGTTAATAAGGCTTTATCATGATGATTACCATATGATAAATGTCAGTGTCATTACTCAAGTAGACATCATCTAACCAAAGAATGGCTACAAAGGACTTGCATTTATGTAGTGTAAAAAGTAACTCATTGCTAATTAAAATATGTTTTGGAAAGTTGAGAGGAAGGTAGTGAATTTTTAACTTTAAGTTGGTTATGTAGCAAAGTGTGACAAAACGTGACAAGCAATTTTAGATAACATTTGATTATATAATTATAATTGGAAATGTGATCTTTGTGTGATCCATTGTTGTTAAAGTAAGTGTGAAAACATTCTATTGCGTGTCGCATGGGATGTCAGATATAATTTGATTTGGATTTGCGTGAGTATTCAACCATATCTGTGGAATGGTGGTTATGTCGTGATGAAGTTGTTTATCCCAACAGAAACTCCATTTATCCTCTGTACTATAAATCAAGAATTAGCTAGCTACCATTATGTATATAAAAACATTGATTCAAGGAATAAAGTAGATTCAGTTGATTGTACAGTAGTTGCATGTGCCTCTCTTGGAGAGTTTGCCCCAATGAGCGAAAGGTTGACCTAAGCTTCACAACAGTGCAGCTCTAACTGACAACTCAACTGTGGTTTCACTACAGTTAGTTTGAACTCTTAAAATAATGATTGCTTTGCATGTTTATTTCTTCAGGGTGCATTTTCTATTGCTCTGGATGTGTGGGACTCAGATTCTGGCAATTTTCTTGGT